AATTTGGAAATTCCCTATCCTTGGTTGTTGTTTTTTTTTTCCTTTTTTGTTCATCGTTCCTAATTCCCTGACATTCATAATGAGAAATTTACTGAGGGCTGCTATTTTCAACAGCAAATAAATCAGCAAATTGAATACATTATAGGTTAATTGGCTTTCGATTAAACACTTGCCCGTTTTGGACTAGATAAATAATTCATCGTTCAAACAGTAGCTACAGCCGAATGATAATTAACCTAGCCGAAAAGTGTTCAATTGTGGGGGTTAATGACATTTATCGAGAAAACAAGGCCACGCGGTTAACAATAATGTCAAGTAAAGATTGAACTCATGATATAATATATATACATACATAATGATACAATACAGTAATATATACATATACATATTATATATCATAAGAATTGAATAACATCATTATTTCAGACTTTAGATTTAATTAGAGTGCTTGAAAAGTAGTGTATTTTCCAAAGTTGAAGAGATTTTTCTCCTTTGATACCGAAGCTAGATTTGATAATTTGATTGACTGAACTGAGAAGTCAGGTTCTTCTGTTCAAATAGAATAGTTCCTTGGAAAAGAAAGTTATTGTCAATCTACAATCCAATTTGAAATGTCTTATTGAAGACATTTGATTATTTTGCTTTGAGTATGAAACAAGAGAAAAGCAAAAACTAATGTTGAATGAAAGGGAAAATTATAGCTTTTGTTTGAAAGAATTTTGTTCTCTTTCTATTCGTGTTATAAAATCTTTAGTAGCTTTAGTAGCTTTAAACACTTGCACTTGTAAACAGAAAACATTACTCTGACATTTGGAACAACAGTAGTGGTAGAAATTAGCAATATTAAGATTCAATTTTGTTTTCCTTTCAATTTCTGCTTGGAACAATAATATTGGTTTCAAATATTATTCCTACATTATTCATCTATGCCCATATAATTCTAAAAGGTTAATACCTTCAAAAGGTTAATATCTTCAAAAGCTTAATATCAAACCTCTTCAAAAATCAGTTTACAAAATAATTAAAAAGAGACAATGTTTTAAAATATTCTCAATTATTTAGAAAGATTTTAGAATTTATATTGTATATAATGTTCTAAATAAGATTATTTTCCATTTCAGGAAGTCAGACAGCCAGAATATTCAACCAGATAATAATTATTCTGGTCACAGGGATTATCCTAGCTCGATAATAACAACCATTGTTTTTCACATTGCTTCCTAAAAGTGTAAAACGAGTACGTTAGGAGATTGCTCCCATCGTATCTAATACTAATTTTTAAGCCGCGTAATCTTAATTAAATATCATATCAATAAATATGATAAGGGTGGCGTTCAACTGGACGTCTTCGTCGTACAAGCAGTGACAGATCTATCTAATTCTCTATTTCCAAACTGATGTACCATCATTTGAAAAAAATAATTAACTTTAAAATCACTTTTCAACTAAATCTAGCTAAATTAATATTTCTGATTAAAAATATTATGTTGTTATAGTTCTTATAACATTTCTTATGTCTACAGTTTTTCTCAAAAAAAGAAAAAAAAAAGAATTATTGAAGAGCAATGATGAATTTAATTTTTTAAACATTTCTAGATCTGTCACTAGTAATAAACCAAAGTATGTTCTAGGCTCTAAATGTATTCTCACGTGAAGAAAAGATCTTGTTTGAAACATATTCATGGAATTATCAAAGAGAGAGAAAAAGGAATTAACATGATGAAAAGAGAACAGAACAGAGAACAAATGAAAAAAAAAAACCAAAGGAAGCATAAATCCGTCTCTCCATATGCATATACACATATATTATACAGATCGTCCAAAGATCTTTTTAATAAGTGACAAGAAAGTTTTCATTGTTTTTCTATACGTTGATATAATATTATTTTTACTACAATTTTATAAGAGTACTTCTACTTTTACTGTATATCAGTTTTTATATATTTAAACAAAAAAAAAAAAAAAAAAAAAAAAA